GGCTGCACTCTGGCTGCCCTAGCTTCATGAGTCAGCATCGTCCCGTGCTCACGGACCATACAGCACAGAATTACCGAGGCTTTGTGGCTATCCCTTCAACCCGCCTGAACACATTGAAGAACGCACGATGCACATGGAGCACACAGCATCTTGGATAGCAACAACAGCCTAGCGACGTCTCTTGACTTGGCCCAGAGACAGGATGTCCTACCGCCGGAGCTCTTCAGCATGTTGCAGTGGGTTCCGCTCATAGCATTTGGAGCGCCGTGTTTGCAGCTGGCCCGGGCTTTTGTGCAGACCACACATCACTGCAAGCCGAGGTCTCAATGCTCAACGCGATCGGACAGCTTGCTGGCACAGCGCTGCTGTGCCGATGGCTGCCAAAGGTGAAGCCTCCATGCACGTACTCCTTGTTAAGCCTTCGGGCCCAGATTGCGGCTCTCAAGATGTCGATGTTCAAACAGGCCTCGGATTAAGGAGATCCCGCATCTTCTGTGGATTGCCGGGAGACTCTAAAACGGCCGTTGCAGCCTCCGCCCGCAGGCGTCGGAAATGATGCACGATGCGTCGATCGTGCCGGCCTTCACTCGCCTCTGCGGGGCCACTGTCGGACACGGTTGTGCCATGAGCCGCCAGGCCGGGACATGCCAGTTAAGCCCCCGGCTGCGGTGGAGGTCAACGTTCGGGTTCTGGGTTTCTTGGGAGGTGTGGCTACTTGCCCCAGGTCCCTCTCAGCAAGAATTACAATGTATCCGGAAAACAGATCAGCACTCTCGTCGGTTCTTGTGGATCGTGACCATTCGTTCCATCGGTTGTTGGCCACAAAAACCTAGGAAACCCTTGAAAGAAACTCGGATCAAGTGCTGGCTAGTGCCGACCAATATCAGGCGTAGCTGTGTCGATTGTGACTCATGCGCACTTGTTGCTCATGCTACTGACTAGTTATAGTTGCGAGAACCCTAAACCCGAACCCCTAAACCGAAGTGTTCTGAGAACGCTTCTGTCTTCATCCCATTTTTCCCGGTAGGCGCTCACGCTCCCGGAGACCTTGGTGGTCGGCAACCGTTGCTTCTTTGCCACCGACAACATCCTGACCAGCGTCGAAGTGGACCGCGGAGAGTTCAAGGTGCCCTGTGTCACTTATATGAGCCGCTTGGATCGCTTTTTCGTGCAAGCAAGCCACGTTCAGT